TGTAAATACGGAAGTTTATCATATACTGTAGTGTATTCTCATTCGATATGGAACAATTAGAGTTCATAAGATTTAAAAATAGATGCTGCTTTTCCATTAGTACTTTTTTTAAAAATAAAAACAAAAGGTAAATAAAGGATTGACTTACTAAATTTGATATGTGTAACTCAATGCTGCTTTACAAAGATAGAACTAAAACTGTTTATAGCACAGTGAATACACAGTTAATTCATTCATAATTACTTCTTTTAGCATGCTAGTACTAGGAGAACCAACTGGTATCTGTATTTCAGAAATTTTAAGAACTTTTGAGGGAACAAATTAATAAGCGAATATTTTACCAAAAATCAGTCTATATTTGATCATTACCAACAGTGGGAGGCATGCACAAATACAGTTGTAAAGTTCATCCAAAATTCCTGTAACTGCTCTTCTAGTAACCTCATAATGTACACTCTGTGCTCTGCTTGGGCCACAGCACCTGTTTTTAGGAAAAATTATGGCTACAATTAATCCAGTGAAAAAGAGGAGAATGCAACAAAAGCCTTTACTGCTCTAAGTATACACATGCTTTGACCAAGTGGTGCATGATTGTTGCAGGAACATCAGTGTGTATTTATTAACATTCTGGGTGCACCTGCCTGATGCTTCAACCTATGGGACATTAAAAGATACCTGAGTGTCTGGATTTGTAACATCTATATGTATAGTCTAAAACCTTGTACTGTTAGAGATTTTCCTGCTTGTTATCTTTGGTCTCCTCAATCTGCCAGCTGGGGCCTCTGTAATTTAAAGTACACCTCAATTCAGCGGTCTAGGGTGGTGTAAATTCCAGCCTGTGTATTCAGTTCATGTGCTTCAATTCCTGCTATTGTTTTAAGCAGTTTCCACCAAGGGTGTGCTTTGCTTTGCCAACACAGTGCTCCATTCATCAACTAACTTTTTTAATTATTATTATTATATACTACTGACAATATGGACAGAGGGAGAAAATCAAACTTTCTGAATTCCACCGAAAGTATAATTTAGTCAGACTTTGGGCGCCTGAGTCTCAGAGAATGACTTAAATTGCCTACTCTCAAGCACCACCTAACCCCTGGTGGCACCTAAAATGAATCATTTGGGACAACAGATTTTGCCTGGCGTCTGGGCAAAAGTTCCAGGGAAGCTGAGAAGTACCATGGCTTAAGCAGCCAGGCATGTAACTCCCACCCAAATTTTATTGTGATTCAAAGATGTGTATAGAGATGTCCGAACGCTGCCTATGTCCCCAGAGGTGCCTTAGCCATTGACTGTGCTTGAATAGCACATAATAAACTTGGACAGCATTGAACTCAACACAAACCACAGCAGTCATGAACACTTCCAGTGTAGAAGAGGGAGAGAGGACCTTTTCAATAGCCTTAAAGCTTAGAGCGGTCATCCAGAAAGGATGTCTGGTTTGGATTGTCCTAAGCTAAGGAAGCTCAACAGGAATAGGAGAACTTGACTACTGTCCCACAGTTAAGGGTATTTCCTGGGAGAGGAAAGTCTCAGGTTCATATTTTTGCTCCCAAGTCTGATTATGTATTTTGCTTCAGATACTTTTGTCCAAAGGAAGTAAGCATCCCCTGGTTCAGTGACCATACACCAAGGATACCCTAAATTGCTTGTCTGTTTTAATGTGTAAGTGTTTTCTTGTCATCTTCACAGACAAATTTGCACGCTTATTAATTGCTACTCTTATTTCTTTAATGTTAGAGCTTTCTTAAGACCTGTCATCTCTTTTACTGCTTTTGACTTAGACACCATGATGTACAACCCTAAGTTAATGTTCTTTATATTTGTGCTTTACATCTGTAGACTTTGAGGTGAGCTTGGTACAGGTTTTTTTCATCTTTATTCCCTCTCTACCTATGCCACATGGAAAGGGTAGATACTCTGTGATGAAGTACTTGTTGAGCTGTGGATGTGTGGAAAAACTTGGGTTTTTATTTTTCATTAACATTTAATGCTGCTTCTTTTACTGTTTTCACCCTGCACATGATGTATCCTTAGCTTCCTCATTGAATTTTAAATGTTGGTAGATGCAATCAGGTGAAACAATATATTAAAGATTCAAAGAACTTCTGAATTTCAAATTCAATATTCCACTAAATTTGTTTTGGCTTTTCTCATGTTCTGATTATGAGGTTTTATGTTCATGTTTCTGTTCCAGCTTCTTTTTTCCCCTCATCAAATACAATTAAATATTTTTTGTTTAAAACACATACATACTTTGCCTATTTCTGAGGAGTTTTAACTGAACTTTACAGAGTAGAGATAGCATAGTAGTAATACTTAAATTTTGCTATAGTATCTTACTGATTTTCTGTACCTAACTTCAATGCTAGATGTGTAATTTTTATTTTATTACACTCACTTGAAGCCATTCAGGGAGCAAAAGCATAGGGGAAATTGTGTATAGTAGTAAATAGTATGCTAGTTTTCTGAGTATTTTATCCCTTTATTTTTTTTCCTTTTAGCATTCACCATCTAGCTGGAAGGATTGAGTGTTAAGTGTGTGCTTTAAAGCATCTGTTAATGACTTTTTGGTCAACAAAGTTTCCAAGAAGGACAGGGAATAATCTCCATTCTTGGAGTCTCAAAACTCAGCTGGTCAAAACTTACAGTAAGGTAATATAGTTTTCAGGTTGGTCCTACTTTGAGCAGGGGGTTAGATCCATTGGCCTCCAGAAGTACCTTCGTACCTAAATTATTTTGTGAATCTAACTGAATTTATCCTTGGTTCAGTTCTACTTAAATCTTTACTCTTTAGTTAACTCCACTGAAATAATTGTAATGCTGTTAGCAATTAATTTGACCTTGTCTGCTTTTCTCATTTCTCCCAATACAGTTTTATCTGTCAGAGGTAAGAGAAGCCAGAGAGAACTCCTGCCCTTTTTCATAATGCTGACCCACACCTTAACTTTTGTCCTGTTTCCCAAATAGTTTGATAAACAGTTAAGGAAGGTAATTTTATATCATGTGCATGATAGCTCTTAAAGTGTAGTGAAGCTTACAGTGAAAGGCAACGATGGAGGGAGAGAGAAAGGAAAAAGTGCTCCATATTTACTAGAATACCTACCATGTCCAGAAACTACTTCCATTTGTTTTGCAGACTTATCATACCAATCATGATTTTTCCTTCTTTCAGTGATTTCCCTTCCATTATTGTCTGCCCTTTGCCCATTAATGTAAATGTCCCTGTGTCTCCCAATATAGAATTTAGCTGGGAAAGTTAATGGGTTTTGGAAAGCTAATCAGATGCTCCCACAGCCAAATAGCCTGTCTAGTTTACAACTGTAAATCTGAGGTACCATCTCCTTAGCTTGCCTGGAGTGCTGTAAACCACAGGGCTGATCCCATGTCCAGGTAGTTTATTGTTCTGCAGAAAGGCATTCATGTATTACTGATGCCCAATTAAGGCATTTTCTTCATAAATCATAAACATATTTTTTATGCTATAATTAAATACAGAGTAGTATGAAATCTAGATCTATGTCCTGCAAACCTTGTTTGCTTTTGCCTTGCCTTTTGACATTGAAACATCTATAGCTATGCAACAGAGCATGTGGGTCCACTAACAGTGTGAGTGAGCAGCCAGTTTGGTCCTGGGATAAAACAGGAATCAGCTGTGGGAAGTAAGCCAAAGAAGTGTGATTCCCACATAAGGGACTTAAGTAGGTGTTAGTCCATAAAGAAGCTCTTTGGCAGGATTTAGAGCAGGCTTCTCTACACAGAAGACACTTTTCCTGAGATCCTAAGTTAACTGAAGTGCACTCATTTTCAGGAGGGTTGTGGGGTTATTGTCTTGTCAGCTGGTGCTTTCCACTTTTTTTTTTCTTCCCCTTTGTTTTGTTTTAGTTTTGGGGTTTTTTTCATAACACATTACTGTGTAATTATAATCCCAGTTCTAGTTTTTTAGAGCTAAACCATTTACTTCAGTTGATTGTGGGAAGAAAAATAGAGGAAGTTTTTCTGCTGCTTGGGGCCCTCAGGTTTATTCTGCTCTGATCCGGGGAATGCCTTTTGCAATGTGGCTAATTGGGCAATCCTGACTGTTTTCAGCAAACAGCAATGTTAACACTTCAGCTGCTCGTGTATTGTGTAGTGTTTGCATCTGTGGTTTTCATTTGTCTCCCTGCTGTCTTAGAAAAGAAATAATTTGAAATGCAGAAGCTTCAAAAGAAAAATGTGGATTGTACCACCCTAATTTGTTTAGTACAGAATTAGTTTGAGTTACAGACTAATTTCATTTTTTCTGAAATATAAACTTTTCAAATAGTTCATAGAAGTGGTGTTGTATTGCATTCTGTGATATAAGTAACAAGTCAGACTTTTATATTCTTTTCTAGAGGTGTTAACATATCTAGGTAAGAAGGGAATAACAAAATCAAGCAACAAGTCATTCATTCTGAAATGCATTCCTTAATTTTGTTCAAGCCTGCTAAAGTTCAGCTATTCTGATACTCAAGATGTCTAAGTCATTGTCCATGGAGGTCACTGGATCAAACTCACTGCTCAAAGCAGGACCAACTTGAAAGTTATATAAAGTTATTATGAGCCCTCCCTAGCTGTGTTTTGAAAGTCTCAAAAAATGGGGATTATTCCACAAATCCTCTGGGAAACTTGTTCCAATATCCCAAGCAATAAATTGGGAAAAGCAGTATTTTAAAATATGTTTTTGTAGCATTCACTTTGCAGCAGTTCTTTTAAGATACTTATTCATTGTAAACACAGATTTTTTAAAAAGTTAGAACAAAAAATTCATTAGTGAAATCTTCAGTCATTTGTTCTTATAAATAGACTGAAATGTACTTTTGCGAAGAAGCATTTCTGAATGCTGAAGCCCGTGAACTTATATGAGTGAGTGTTTAGCTCCTTTTTTTCACCAGGTATTATTTCTGCTCATTCCATTAAGCAGTGTTTACGTGTATAAGAATAACAATAAATCTTTTTTTTCCTCCTTCCTATTGTAGGCAAGTATTTCCAAATGGGCTTCCTGAGGAATATTCTCTGGTTACTACGTTCCGTGTACGGCGGAGTACAAAGAAAGAGCGTTGGTATATATGGCAAGTTTTAAATCAGTATGACACACCTGAGGTTAGAGTCATCTTTGATATATTTTTTCATTAAGTTTCTTTTTTTTCCCCATATAATACTGCAAATATAACTTAGTGGACGTTTCACCACTGGATTTAGTATGGTTTATATGGAATAGACAAGACTGTTCTGAAATAATAGATGATTTATTATAGGAAATACAGAAATTCAACTAAATTTATTCAGTTAAGACAGCAAACTAGGATAAGAAAGCATGTTATGATTTACAGCTGATAGGTATTTACAAAGTTACATAGAATAATGCTTCATAACATAATTCTTGCCCAATCTATGTACTCAAATTATTTTTATTATACGTAGTTTATATATGTGTTTAATTCTTATAACTTTTAAATGACCACTTCTCTTATTTTATTTTGCTTTCAGATCTCTATCCTTCTCGATGGTACAAAAAAGGTTGTGGAGTATATGACCAAATCTGCTCAGGGAAATATACTGCATTACACGTTTAAGAGTCGAGAAATTTATCCATTGTTTGATCGGCAGTGGCATAAGCTTGGTATTAGTGTGCAGTCAGGGATCATTTCCCTCTATTTGGATTGTAATTTAATTGAGAGAAAGCAGACTGATGAAAAATTCACCATTGACTTGCAGGGAAGGACTCTGATTGCTTCCCGTGCTGCAGATGATAAGCCTGTAGATGTAAGTAGTATGAAAGGAAAACCAGATGACTTGAAATCATGTTTTATCCACGCTTTTACTAACATCCTCATAAAGAATTATGTAGATAAAAGGTTCAAAACCAGATATTAATTTTGAGTGTATATTCTTAATTTGAAGTCCTGAAATCTTTTTCTCTAAGCAGTGTTCAGTGCTGTAGCATCTGCTAAGGCAAACCCTCTGTTACCAGAGTAACTACAAAACCTCATTCCTGGTCTCAGGAGTCTGTTTTTTCTGTATTTGCTTTGGAGGAAAAGCTACATAGTTGCCATAGACATATTATTACTACATTTAACAATAACTTCCAGTGGTGATATTTTTCTTTCAATTTTTATGAGATTTTTTTATAAGTTTGTATCAGTCATCTGTTGTAGTTCAGCTTGGTCTCCCTTTGATAGAGAGGAGAGAGAAAAAAATTAAGGATTACCTCTGTATCAAGATTCTATCGCATTCCAGGGTGATTCAGCTATGCAGAAATAGGGGCACATTGTTCCTAGTTGTCACTCCCCCCTCTGAATGGGAGGGATTAGGAAGTGGCTGGAGGTGTGTTTCCTGCAGCCTTTGATTCAAGAGTTACCCAAGGCAACTCCATAATATTCTGGGCTGTCTTCTGTCTCAGGGATGCTCTCCTCTGTTTCCTCATGCAGAGGCTCACAGCAAGTAATTTGAAAGCTCCAGGAAATGTCAGTTTAAGTATGCTGACATCCAGTTACCAGGTTTAAAGCATCTGACTTAGAGTTTATAGTGACCATCTGAAAGTGTTAGCTATATTATGCACACTGTACTGTTCCAGATGAAAATAGCACATTGTAACTGCAAACTAGCCTTGTGGGAGGAATCAGTCCTGAGAGACACTAAGCACTTTTGCCTGGGCTCAGAGCTCTTATTTCATGGGGCCAAGCTCATGCTTCATTTTATTTTCTGAGACTTAGTTCAGCTTTATTTGAAATGTATGTACCATCTCCTCATTTCCAAATAGCACACAGCAGAAGGAACAGATTCTTTATATCTTATATTGGTTGCATGGCACAGAGTGGATAATTCTGAGTGGATGTTGTCAATCAGGATTTCCATGTTTGCAGGAAAACATCAGGGGTATAAAGCTAATGAAGTCAGCAGAGCAGATCTGATACCAACTGTCACTCTTCTCAGTACCAAGTGCAGGGGAAAGAATAAGATGATACAGAACAGATGCACACAAAGGCAAGAGTAGCTAGTTAAAATTAGATGCTGTTCATCTCAACCCACTCAGAATCTCTGAAACAGAAGCCTTATGTAGATAATTTGTGATTTCTGCTCTTCAGGTGATTTAGTGGCAAGGTCCAGGCAAAGGTCTGTCCAAAGCGGTAAAAGCTGTATGTGAGATAGAGCTTACCAAACCTTTACTCTTGTTCACTGCAGAAGAAAGTTCTGTTCCTGAAAAGAGGGTTTGCAGAGGATGTCCAGAGGGATAAAATGCCTATGTAACATAGCAATAGCAGTACAGAGGGATGCAACTTACATGAAGATATATTAAATCTAAAATGTGATTTACATCAAAGCCATAGATTGCATAATTTGTTCCTTAAGTGAGGAGCTGTGCAATTGTTTTGGATTTGTGTCTTTTTCCAGCATTTCAAAAAATATGCAGTGTTTTAGAGAGAAAGTTGATTTTGCCAAGATAAGAAAATGCATACTGTAAGACAATTTTTTACATCTCTTATTAATCTCTTTTTAATTTCTTAATAGATTGAACTTCACCGCATAACAATTTATTGTAATCCAAAACTTGTAACAGAAGATGCATGTTGTGAAATATCTGCAGACCTAGTAAGTTATTTGTTAAAATGCAAATTTTAACATGAAAGAAATCGCATCATTGTTTCTTACTAAGAAGTTGTAAAGACATTTCGATAGAAGTCTTATATTAATTACCTTCTAAAAATGAATCCTGTATCTGGAGTCATGGTGCATTGTTTCTTGGTGCCTAACTAAATGGCACAGTGGAACTTCAGTGAAAGGCACTAGGTGCTGCTAGTGCTTTTTAAATGTGTTTCTTAAAATTGATTAATATCTAATTAGTAACTGAGGAAGTCTCAGAGAGTAGGAGACACATCACTGTGATGACCTGAGGATGTTGATGACCGATGGCTTCAAATAACAGAGGCCATTTCAATAACAGTTGCATCTAGTGAAACATTATAGATGATGAACAAAGCCCACGAAAGCATCTGCACGATAGTGGAAGAAAAGCAGGAAGGTATTGAGGGCGTTTCCCTTATTTCAATACGCTAACATAGAGGAATGAGTGTTTCATAATTGATGAATACTTTCTTCTGCACGTGCTGAGATGTGTATATTGTTTAACATAAGGGAAAACTATTTAGTTTAGAGGGTTCACTTTTCCCATTCATTTTGATAGACAGAATCAGTGTAAACTGGAAGGCACTAGAACTATAGAAATGCTTGAAGTTGTGGATGTGATTGTTTTGCTGAATCAAGCATATTTGAAAAAAAAACCCAAAAAAACCAGAAAGAAAATAAATCAAAATATTGATCTGCCAGTTATGAGTAGTCTGTAAGAGCAGGCTTCTCTGAGGTAGCAGGCAGTACAATCACCACCCAACCTGCAGTCAGCAAAAAAATCCAGAGCATGCAGAAGGACTAATTGATTCCATCTACAAAGAGATGGGAGAAAAGGGTACCTGGAATGAAGGGATAAAGCTGCCCAAGAACAGAGAAGCAGAAGACATTGTGGGGACTGGCAACTGATAGGCGCGCAGAAGCATGGAAGAGGCTGGATCTAATTAATCAAGGGAGATTTCAATTTTAAATAATAATTTATTGTCCAAATATATTTAGAAATATATTCTTGATAATAGTGTAGGCTTTCTCTTGAATGTATAAGTTCATGGATAAGTGAAATAAAGGGATTTTTTTCTGTATGTTCTGCTTTGTGCATGGAAATACAATTTATTTAGCAGTTATGACACAGTAGCAAAAAATAAAAACAAAAAACCCCCTAATTATATATGAACACAAAAAGATCAAGGATAGGCTTTATTAATAGCATTTTAAACGTTCATTCAGCTCTATAGCTAAAAGCACCATCAGTTTAATTTGTATGTCATATGTTGAAGATGTAAAAAATGGTGGACTACTTGTTCATTACTTTAGTATTGAAACCATTACATTTTCTGATTTAATTTTTCATGACTTCATTACCAGTTCAAAAGGCTACATTTTCAGTAATTTAAGGGAAGAAATTTATCCTTGAATACAATTTTCTACACTAAGCTATAAATCTTGTGGGAATTTCTTTGACAGAAGGCTCAGAGGAGACCTCATTACATCTTAATGAGAGCTTCTGAAATTTGTCAGGTTCTGTTGACTTGTCCTGTAGTATATCTTCAGGTTATCTCAGCTCTCATGAGTTACAGACAGGTGAATAATGGCCTTAGGGCTTTTTGTTTGTTTTCAAACTATGCATGCCCAAAGTATTTCATTACAAAAAAAATAATAGAATTTTCCCTTACACTCATTCCAATAGAAGATGGAGGACGAGATGAAACTGAGAAATACTTTTTTTTTTTTCTTTTCCCTTTTTTCCCCTTCATGGGTATTTTCTGCTTCACTGCTTCTAATTTTGGAAGACTTTATTCCTCTGTCTGGGTTCTTTTAGAAGAAAGAAGTGAGACAGTCAGATCAGTTTTGCCTAGCACTGATTTTTAGTACAGAGGAATCACAATATCTAGTCTTCATTTTACTATAGCCTTTTTCTCTAATTGGCAATTGCTGTGACTTCTCTGTAAGATGGTACGTACAGGAGTGTTAAAACAGAAAGTAACTTAAAAATAGTGTTTGGATGGTATTTGTCTACTAACCAAAGTGGACCAAAAATCAGTTTGTTTTTTTTTATTTTAGTGCCCACGTGAGGAGAGGTTACTTACTACAACTTCATCACCAGTGACTGCTCATACCAGCAAAATATACACACTTCCAGGAATGCAGCAAGAATCTAGAGAGAGATGCCACTGCTTTCTGAATAAAGTATGAGGTTTTCCTCTTGCTTCTTAGTACATCATGCTGTTTAATCCTGTTTAAGTTGATTTTTTTTATAGTTATGAACAGTATCTTACTAGTTTGTAGTGTTGTAATGTACTTGTAATTGTATTTCCCGATTAAGAAACAGTACATTTTAGATTTAGTTAATTTAAAGTAAGATTTGCAGAGGTCTGTAAGGTTTAGTTGTTTGAAAACACAAGCACACACACACACAAATCCATGGTAAAAATGAGAATTATATTTAGAGATTATATTTAGTGTAAATGTTTTTACTTGAGAATAAATTATTTTCCTATATAAAGCTTTTTAAAAAATCCTTTTCCTAGATGTTGCACTGTGTTTGTTCTAAGTCATTTGCTTTCATAGGCTATTGTGATAAAGACAAGGAAACCAAACCAAATATGTATTTTGGATCTACTTCTTTGTTGATTTTTTTATTTGTTTTAAAATCAGGGAGAAGCAGGATTGCCAGGAGTAGCTGGTTTGCCAGGCCAGAAAGGAGAAAAAGGCGAAAAGGTAAAATATCAGTTGAATTCTGTCTTCCAAATCTTTATAGAATCATAGAATCATAGAATGGGTTGGATTGGAAGGGACCTTAAAGATCATCTAGTTCCACCCCCCCTGCCATCAGCAGGGACACCTTCCCCTAGACCAGGTTGCTCAAAGCCTCATCCAGCCTGGGCTTAAACACTTCCAGGGAGGGGGCATCAACAACTTCCTTGGGCAACCTGTTCCAGTGTCTCACCACCCTTACAGTAAAGAACTTCTTCCTAATATCTAATCTAAACCTGCCCTCTTTCAGTTTAAACCCATTTCCCCTTGTCTTGTCATTAGTTGCCCTTATGAAAAGTCCCTCCCCAGCTTTCTTGTAGGCCCCCTTCAGGTATTGGAAGGCTGCTATGAGATCTCCCCGGAGCCTTCTCTTTTTCAGGCTGAACAGCCCCAACTCTTTCAGCCTGTCTTCATAGGAGAGGTGCTCCAGCCCTCGGATCATCATTTATCTTTGACTTATCTTTCTTAAATAGAAACTTTATGGATTTTGTTATTCCTTAAAGGAATATCCCTACACACAGGTTAAATTCTTTATCAATCAGTCTTTGGTTCTGCAGGTGCGTTTCCTGTCAGGCAGCTTACAGCTGTCTCACTTTGAGGTCCCCTCATCAACTCCATGGAACACAGTTTACCTGCCTGGGAAGCACATGCCTACCCAACCTTGTCAGCACGTCCTATTGCCTGTTCCCCTTATACAAAAAAAAAAGAAGTTGTGTATATTGTCTGTGACAAGGATTTTCCTGTATCATGTGTGTACATCACTGCTGATGGACAGAATCCTGTACAGTGGATTCATCCTTGCAGTCATCAGCAGGAGGGTATGAATTCACTCATATGACCTCAGCATTGTATATTCTTTGACATCACTCCTACCTGAAATTTTCTTAATTGTGAAGAGAGAGGGACCCGACGTTGGTAAACCCCTAGGACAGGCCAGTTGGTGCTCCTTTCCTTTGGCCTATTCTGTATTTTTGTTCTGTAATGCTTACCATGGCTTTCATTTGTTTGAAGGTTTCCTAATAATGAAGGTCAGCATATCAGATGTTTTCCTTTCACACTTCATTCCCTAAATTGGGCTGGAGGATGCTGGATTAGGACATGTCTGGGAATGTGTTTTTTCTTCTGTATTTCTATTAAAAGGGAGCAACTCGAAATAAGTGTTGTAACTCAGACAGAGAGACAGTGGATAGGAATTCTGAGTTCAGGGATTGGAGTTTGACAGGAGGATACCTGGAATGTCCTAATCCAGAGGTTAGGATGGAGGTGTCCTAATCCAGCATCCTCCCTCACAGCACAGTTTAACACACAATCTGAAATAGTTTGTGACAACAGCCAGCACTGTTCCTACCACTGTAGTACCTGGTTGAAGTAGCTCCAGTTCTGAGAGGGCTTATCCACACAGGCGGTTTAAATTAAGTAAATTCTTTGACAGTGTCTTCCTTCCACAACTCCTCCCTTCCAATATATATATAAATCAATTTTGATACTGGCTTTATAATTTTCCTAGGTGGAAAAAAAGTTCAGGCGTGTTAGTTCCTATAGCCCAGCTGAACCTAGAGGGATTGCTGGCAGTTTCCAAATGTAATAATGAATTTTTGCTCATCCCAGGTCTATGTATATAGAGCAATTTTATATGTCTTAGAGTTAGTCTATGTTACCAACATAGGGAGTTTCTTAGCATTTATTTGGGAAACTCCTCTTTTGCTCCTGACATGATCCATTTAGAGTATTACAGATAATAAGAAGAGAAAAGAGACTCCAGACATCTTAATTTTTTTGCTATTCTGTCTCGCAGCCAATCAGCGATATTTACCATGCTAAGCAGAGTACCTCTAAATAAAGCATGTGGGTGCCTGTGGTCACCTCCAATTCTGTTCTTCTGTTTGTTTTACAAAGAAACCCTCACTGTATTGATTAAAAAACCATCCAACAGTCAATGAACCCTTTCAACTTCTGTGCATCACTGATAGCAAATTGCACAAGGCTGTGTCTGACATGGTTGGTAATTACAAAATCCAAAATTTTAATTTTAGAGGGCATCTTCTGTGATGCAAAACTGAAAATTGTTAACCTTGAGATTAATGAAAAATAAATATTTCAAGATTTATACAAATAGGGGGGTTTGGGTTTTTTTTTTTGGTGACCTACTACCTATAAGTGCAAATTTGATCTGTTTTTCATTTATTTCACTGAATATGTAGAGCCTGAGCAGGTTTATGTGCATCCAGCATTTTAGCCTAATGATGGTAAATTGACATTTGTGACTAAAAGTTAGCAGGTTGAAGTCAGAGGTAGTACAGCAAAGAGCTAGAAAGCTCTTAATTTGAATTCTACTTATCACACAGAATCACAGAATGTTAGGGATTGGAAGGGACCTCAAAAGATCATCTAGTCCAATCCCCCTGCTGGAACAGGCACCTAAATGAGATCACACAGGAAGGTGTACAAGTGGGTCTTTAATGTCTCCAGAGAAGGAGACTCCACAACCTCCCTGGGCAGCCTGTTCCAATCCAATACTTGCTACTTCCTAGCTTTGAGGTTTTTTGGGGGGGTTTTTGTTTATTTGGGGATGGGTGGAGGGCACATTACTGCTGTGATTAAAAGGATGACCTCACTGTTGACCTTTGGGAGCAAACGATTACTGCCTCAAAGAGTGCCTACCATGATGGAGTTGAATGCCACATTCTCTGAAGCTTTAGTACCATTTTTTCTTCGCCTCTACATTTGTGCAACTTTTCAGTAACACTTGCATTCAATGATAGCATTTTTACATCAATAATTCAAGAAGGAGAGGCAGCAAGACCCCAGACCATTCCAGGCATGCAAGATACATGGTTTATTGCCAGATTATGCAAAGGAGAGTAACAGACTTTGGTTGGATGGTTTGTAATACGTTATATGTGAAATAGGCAGCTTGATAGCTTTGCTGTCCAGTCACAAAAGAAAGAGTATTTCTCTAAGTTGTCTGATGATTCTTCAACCCATGTTTGCCACTTGGTTGTGCTTAGCTCTTCGGTTCGTTGTTTTCTTTTGCTTCTAAATCATATTATTATCAGCATCCAACTAAATATATTTAAATGTCTTCGCCCTCGCAGCATCCAAGTGAAAACAAGTTAATGTTAATTTTTTTAGCTTCTTTCCTAGGAAATTTTTGTATCCATTGATTTCATCTCTTGTTCAGCACAACATGACTATCCTTTTATTTTATGTTGTCACATTCCAGTTTCCTCTCCACCATAATTAAATGTCTGGCTGAATTTACATGTCTTTTTGTTGCTGTGGAATTAGTAAAATGTCTCTACATACACAAATTGGTACTAGGCTATGTTCAAACCCCCGAAAATTGCTGTTTTCTTCAGTCTATCATAGTTATTCCCTAATATCAGTCTCCGTTTTGCCTGTTTGGGAATATCTAAGCTATCACAAGTACAAAGCATGATACCTGATAAGCCATTTTTAGGCATTTTGAATTGAATTATTAGCCTGTTTCCAACTTCATTCCTGTACACTTGGCAGTACTCTTGGCAGCCCTGTACTCTTGGCTCATCTTAGTACCTCAGAATGGGTCTGAGCCAAAGTCCAAAGCTTATTCTGGGCCCAAATGACTAAAGTGCCATATTTTCACTGGAACAAGTATTGATGCAATATTGATGCATCGCTAGCAAGCTGTCCCTCTGAATGTATGGGAGCATCACTGATCAAAATGATTTAATTTGTGTGAATTGCCTTCCTATTTGTATGCCTGGCCTTCCATGATGGCTTCATGAAGATACTATGAGGACAGTTCTTACTCAACAATAGATGTATTATTTCTGTTGGCTTTGAGGAGATGCTTTGAGGGTGGAGAAGCTGCTCAGTTTCAAGTCTTGTCTCCTTTACTGAATGATGAGTTTGGTACCATATACCCTTTGCTGTACAACAAAAACTGCCTCAAGAGTAGTCATCTCTGTCCTTTCTATTTCCTGTGCAAGCTTGGATCCAGGGATGTTTTATTTGCCAGGATTTTATTTGTAGGATTTTATTTGCTGGGAGTTCCAGCTTCTGCAGCAGGGAACAACCTCCTGTTCTTTAATGTCTGAATAACTGAGACGCAAAAAGTCACCAGGACCAACTTTGTAGACCACCAGGATGAAAACTGAGAGGCAGCAGCAGTTAGGTGTACGATTTAGGTTATCCCTGAATAATATCCTCATACTCTCACAGTAGCTTGATTCTCAGCACACTGTATTTCACAAATTTCAAGTGAACTCTCCTGTTATTTAACACATTTTTATATATGTTCTGTAAAGCTGTGTTTCCTCTTCTGCTGAGCTGAGTGAGAAATTAACCATGTTTTCTGGTTTGGAAAAAATTTCTACTACTGGTATATAGCTACTCAGACTCTTACAAAAATACTCATTGTTAGCAAATATCTTTTGATCGCAATGTGAAGGTTCTGTTTTGTCCTCAATATGTAGAAATTCTTCAGAAAGAATATAGATCTCAGTAATTGAAATGATTTTGTAATATTGAATATACAAACTAATTTTTTCTATCAAAGAAGCTAAAAAGTAATTAATTTTATTTTTTTAATTTTAATTTCTCTTAAGTAAACTTAGCACCTATGAAAGATTTTAAATTTAAATCCAAAGAGAAGTAAATATTTTGGTATAATAATAACCCATTCCAAGCTGTGTTAATAGGTCATTGGTTAATTTTGTAAGTACAGTAAGGAGCAAAAAGCCAGAGGCAGAATGCTTTCAAACATTAAAGTGCCTACTGATGCACACCATGGAGAAATTTATTGCTATTCAAGTGAGCTTTATAAATTTAAATTTTACTTAAGGAAAAAGACATTTAAAAGGCTATTTTAGGATTGGAAGAAATAGCTTAATGAAATATATTGTTGCACTAGGAAAATATTTATAATAGAAAGATAAGAAAAAAGAACTCATGGAGAATAAATGAGGTGTCTGACTGCTCTTTCTGCCTATTTTCCTTGTTAGTCTTCCTTTCCTCTCTCTCTCTATCTCTGTCATTTTTCTTGTAACCTGATTCCACCTAAGGCATATCTGTTGTGTTAAGCAGCCTTGAGACTGGTTCTTTTCTGGTCTGATTTTTGTTGCAGAGGTTATTATAGGCTCTGATAGGGACCCAGAAACTGAAATGCATTATAAATAAATAATTCCTGGGCAAAATACAGCTGGCTGTTAGTAATGACATACTCAGGAATTGCAGGTGTACTTGGTAGACTAAAATCTCATAATGGGAAGAAGGAAACACTCCACACATAGGGAGCTAAGAATATATTGGTAGTCCTACTTAATGTTTTAACTGTCTAATAGTCCAAATTATCTAATTAATATGGAAAAACAAAATTAGTAACAAAGTTTAATTTTTCTTTAAAAAAAAGTCTTAAATATATACCTCTTTTCTATGTCATTGTATTCACCATTCCTGTATTCATCTTAGTCCAAAGGATGGCAGTTTTAGTCCTCCTCAAGAGGGAGTGGACAGGCTGTCAATGAGTCCTCAGTACTCTGGGGGTGCCCCCCCCCCTCCCCAGTGGGGCCACCCCCAGAGCTGAAGCAGTTGAGGCAGCAGTCAGTGGCCCTGGCGCAGGGGTAAAACCAGCAACACCCAGCTCAGGCTATGGCTGAGCCCCTGCACTGCAGCAGCTGGAGGACATAACCAGGT